CCTGTAAGCAGCATGCGGGGGGGGGGGATGTGGGGTAGGGGAGAACTTTGTAGAGTCGGGCTGAGGGTTGGACTCGATCCCGAGGGGCTTTTCCAACCTGAGTGATTCTGTGATGCTGAATCACAAATGGAGTATATTCTGCTGGTATGTCCATCACCACATTTTCTTCAGTTATTTTCAAAAAATACTTCAGTAGAAATCTGTAAGCACTTTTGCCATACTGGGTCACTGCATCCCCTCTTAATTTATCAGTAACTCAGTGGAGGATTCCCATTTGTCTCAGTCGACATCCCTATCGCTTGGGAAAACACTTGGAGATTTATGGACAAGAACAGTTTTCAAAGTTTCCTGACCTACAGAATCTGGTCTAGTAACACTGAGGGAGACAAAGCACAAAGTCAAAACACAAATGCATCAAGTCTGACTGCCGGTGGATGAGAGCTCACAGAACATTAGTTCCTTATTTTCTTGCTCAGACAGCACATGGTTAATGGTATTTTTGAAAAAAAAAAAAAGCATCACCTTGATTACAGAATTTCAAGGCATGGAAAATCTACCTCTTCACTCCTGAGCTTCTGAACCCTCATCATTAATTTTTACCACACTTCTGACTTGGATATAGCATTATAGCAATGGCTGGAAGAAATGCCTTTCAACCACTGGAACAGGTTTCTCATTCATACAATGAGAATAAGGATTCACATCCTCAGTGCTTTCTCCAAGCGCTCGTCTATCAAGTCAAGTCACCTCAATTGTTCTTATAAACTCAAGGCTGTCAGAGGACGAGACTGTAAGGCTTTTCAAATGTGATGTTTGGAAAGGGCACATTCTAAATTGCACATGTTAACGTCTTTCTTTTTCCTCTCAATTTAATTTGGAGGGCAGAAGACATGACGAGAAACAAATGGAGCCTTCTAGGAGTCTACCTTCTGTTTAACAAACTCCTCTCTCAAAAAACATTTCTCAGCATAGAAAATTTAACATGAAGATCATTCTCAATGAAAATCACTCAAAATTATAAACATGCTCCAAATAGTAGTGGACAAAGAGGGAGTTTCTTGGTGTTTACTGCAGAAAGAAATATCATAAATCTTTATATCTTTTATTCCGAACTTCCTTTGAAAATGCTGTAGCAACTAATCACCAACATGCTGCATGAAATCATACTGGGAATAAATCATTAAATTCACTCCTTTATTAAGAATTTCAGAACTCTGTGCAGAACTTCAGTTAAAATCATGAAATCCATTATCAAGGCAACAGATCTGAAACCCACCTCTCTAACCCAGCCCCTTCCATTTCTACTTTTAACCAGAATCAGCCTGCTTTTTGGTGGCTGGAAAGAGACCAGCCAAGAAGGATTTCCTCACTCCCTTCTCACCCAGGACCACATCCTCTCCTCCTCCCCCCCCCCTCCACCTGTTTGGATTATCCATGTTTTGCAGCAGGACCTGTCTCTAATCACCCATCCCTGCAGCACCCAGCCCCGGGGGCAGCCAGCAGACACACAAACAAGCAGGGTAACTGCAGGAACAGCACCTGCCCAACACCACAATGGCAAGCACAGCAAGGCACAACTTGTGTTTTTAAAAACTCCCTTTGCCCATTTATATTTTTCAAATGTGCATAGATCAAACCTACCTGTGATTCTTATTAGCAGTGACTCATATCAGCTGCAGTGTCAGTTTACCTTAGTCTCAGAACTGAAGAAGCCTGGATGGTTTGTGTTGCAGTGTTATATTACAGAACTTTTATTTCATTTCCAGATATATATGCATCGCTTCCAACACAATGCATCAGCACTTCCCCACCTATTCTGAAACAGGAACTGTATTTCTCAAGAATCAGCAGATGCATGAGCTTTCACCACCTTTCATTCATCTCAGTCCTACAGAACAGTGCTTAACATCACACATGACACCAAGCAATGTGCTCAGAAGGAAAACAGGAAGGTGCTTCTGCCCAGAAGCAGTTCAAGATAGTTTCTGGGTACCAGAACCATGTATAACACTAAGAGAAAAACCTAACAGCAGCTTCCCCAAGACTTCTTGCTGTGCTCCCCACGTGTGGTGATGCAATATGCAGCTGAGCAGGGCTGGCAGATCAGCATATCACCAACTGGAGCAACTATTAATTGGCTCTTGTGTTATCAGCGTTTCAAGGACCCTTCAAAGTACAGTTGCTTTGAGGAGAAAATGAACCTGCTAGTTGGGCTTCTTTTTCCCCTCCTCTTCACCTTGACCAGAGTATTTTTAGCTGTATGGACAGACTTGCCAATACTTTCACCTTCAATTCTTTACAGGGAAATTTCTGACAATGCACAGCAATGAATGAACCATATCTATCCTGGGTCAAGAGAGACAGAAGGAAAAAAAACATGGGCAGAATCAAGTTCCCAAAAGACTTCTTCAATATTTTAGCTCCCCTTCTTTCCACAGCCTCCTCTACTCACACAGAGAACTTAGTAAATTTGTACCCGATTTCAGCAAGCCCAGAGTTTGGCCTGAGATTTTGCTTAACGAGATCAGCCAACACATTTGCTCTCAGACAGCTTGATCAAGCTACACACATGCCTTTGCAGAAGAAAGTGTCACTCAATTACACTGAGTCTCCCAGATCTACTAATATAAGTACACTTGGCAGAAAGTGGTCCAACATTGACATCTCGGAAGGCTGAAAAACTCATTATTCAAATGAAACATTCTCTCTTGTCTGTTCATCTCAGCAGGTAGCACGTCAGCTTCTGCCAAATAGGTAAACAGAAGTACTTGCTTCCAGAGTACTGTATCAGTAAATGAGAGGGAAGACATGCTCATGAAGCACTGTTCCTGCTAATTCATGTGACGCTGAACCGTGAGTGCTTCACTAATTACTACAAAAACTGTTATGCAGCAGATCAAGTTCTGAGCTGACAGCAGCAGGCACGGTCACACAACATGGTCACTGTTCAGCTGTCTCAGACAAACACAAACTACGACAAACCACTGACAGTCACCCTTGCTATTATGCTCAGATCTACTGTTCTGGGTAAATCTTCTAGAAATAAGCAGATTTCTATGTAGCAGGAGGGTGACTAGAGTTAGTAAACTCTAGCTCACACATTTTAATGTCTTTTATGCACTGCTATTTCAAGGGAACCTTTATGCACTGCTAAGTGCCACATGGGGATTTATGACTCTTCCTAGGCTTCCCTGAATTACCAGTTTTCCTTCAGCAGCCTGCTTTTAGTGTAAACGCTTCATTAGGAAATCTTCTATTATTTTATAATCTCTTCAACTCTCATAGCATTTTATATTCACAGCAGAGTTTACTCATTTGACACACATTCTGCTCTCCTTTTGTCATTAAATTTCTCCCCACATAGAAAACTGATCAAACTTGCTGGAATTTATAGACCTTAATGTACAAAACATGTAAATACGCTCCCAACACAACCAGAACTCATTCCACTGTCCATCTTAAGCCTCTCAAGTCTTCTAGTTTTGTCCTGAGTAGGTAAGGTGCAGAAGAGAAAACAAAATTTAAAAATACATTCTTAACTGGGTACCTTTTCAGACAAGGCCTTTAAACTGTCCAGAAACCTCTGCCAGAAATCCTTGAAGAGGGGTCGATCAATTCTCTTCAAGCTCTCTTTGGTGCTGGCATCTACGCTGACATACAGCTGTGTTACTGGCTCAAGGTTCCTTGGAAACAAAAAGAAGGGAATTGATGTTTTCAGACATTACTGCTAGCTGAATTTGTGTTTCCTACCAAACCACACACAAAATACAGTATCTCCAAGCAAGCTGCTCTGCTGGTCCAGCAGTGACAGAAACTATACAGTATTTGCTGGGAAAACTATCAAAGTCCAGTGGTTCATCTCTGCCAAGTGGCCATCATCTTAATAGCAAGACATTATAACCTACTTTCAACAAACAACACACCCCAAAGCTAAGAATGCCATATAAAGGCCTTAGCTGACATTCTAATTACCTTTTTCTCACTGAACTGGAACACATTCCACTCCAGTGTAGCTGTAACACATTCAGAAAAGCTTCCCAAATCAGGCTGCCAGGGGTTTACACAAGGCACTGAAAGGTTCTGCTTCTCACCACAGCCCCTTTCGTTAAAAGCTGTAAAGCTCATCCCCTTCCCCAAGCTCTATTTGCCCTGGACCATGGAAAAATAATCCTATTCAATAGAAATACAACCATAATTCAGCCAGTTTCTACTGCTGGACACATTGAACTTACCTGACCCGCAGCTGGCATCGGTCAAATAATTTTTTGAAGGGAAGTCAAAGCTGTTTAGAAAAATAAAACCAAGTGCAATCCCCCAATGTGTTCTCCTTCCATTTCCAAGGCTCTTATTTCATATAAATCCTGCAGTATAGTCTTTCTGATCACATAATGGCTGTGAGCACAGCAAATTTGAGCCCAACAGCAGTAACTTCTAAAAAGATTAAACCTCCTCTGCTGTGTGAAGAGCCTGGGTTGAGTCTAATCCCTTCCATAAACCCCAAGGGTATAAAGGAGAAGCAGCACCACTGCAGTCCATTAGCAGAGGGATAAAGCAGGGCATTAGGAGGAACAACCTAAAACGAGTTCCCTTGTCACAGACAAAACTGATAAAGCTAGTGGGAGAATTGGGTTTGTTCAGCCTTGAGAAGGGTTGGCAGAGACGTTATCATCATGTTCCAGGACTTAAAGGGTGGCTACAAAGAAGATGGAGACTCTTTTTTTTACAAGGAGTGGCATGGGAAAGAGGAGGGGTAATGGGAACAAGTCACCCCTGGGGAGATTCCAGTTGGATACATGAGGAACATTTTTCACAATGAGAACAATCAGCCATTAGGAGAATCTCCCCAGGGAAGATGTGAATTCCTCATCACTGGACACTTAAGATCCAGCTGGACAGGGGGCTGGGCCATCATTGTCCAGGCTGCGCTTTTGCCAAGAAAGGTTGGGCCAGATGATCCTTGAAGTCCCTTCCAACCTGGTATTCTATGAGGCACCCCTCATGGCATCTTCCACCCCAGTGTCTCCGAGATGAGATGACAGCATCCCAATTGCACTGTGTAACTAACCCTTCACAGTTTTAGGACAACATTTGCAAGTGTTTTTTGTGAAGTCTGTTAATGAGCCAGCTATAGTCCCAGCTTAATTTGGCCCTCTATAAAAGACAAGAAATTAGAAACCATTGTTCAGCTGTCAAACAGTGCCACCTAAAAAATACACCAAATCCCCTGCTCTTCCCAAAGGTGACAAAGTGACAAGAACTGTCCAGAATGAGACTCAGCAGAGCTCTTAGCATCCAGAAAGATCCACTTAACAGACACTCAAACAACCTAGCTAAACATTTTTTCTCTGTATGTATTTAGTCAGAAGAATGAAATAGGCCAGAACGAATTTAACATTTTCAGTTAAAAATCCTATTTCGTAAACAAGCTTGTCTGGACTGGCAGCCCAAAGCCACAATCTCCAAAAATGACCAGATGCTCTAGGTGTAAGTGGACTGAAGTGCTCAGTTTCAAAGAACATAGCCAAAATACTCTTTTTCTTTACTTAGCACTGCATTTTCCTAATTAAAAGGGGCTATATTGAAGATGGAGAAAGTGTTTTTCAAAACATGAACTGAGCAAAATCACATCTTCTCAGAGGATCTCAATCCTAAGGACGGGCAAGACCCAGACTCTCTGTTACACTGGAGAAAATTAAGAAATTAGAAGAGATCCCACAGAGGGATTTCTGCCCCACTTTGCTCCAAAACAGAGAGGTCCACAGGGCTCTGCCATGGCTGGGGCTGGAGCCCAGACAGCCTTGCGTATGCTCTGCCAAAGGGGAACAAGGAGAAAGGGCAGTCGTGAGTCCAGCCAGCACCAGAGAGAAGCAGAGCACAAACTGCTGTTCCCAGAACACAGCCACATTTCATAATTAACATGAAATTTAGTTGCATGGTACCAGGATGGAATTTTCCAATGTTCCTCCTTAATTTTTTGTTGCAATTTCCAAGCTAACTTCAACAGCTGAGATTGCATCCAGATCAGAATCACAACATTTACCACGTATGAACTTGGGCAGAAATCATGAACGCACAGCACTACTCAAGAGCAATAAATTGACTTCAGGCCACCAGCCACGAGGTGCTCTCTCAAACTGGTCAGGACACAGCCTAGGCAATGATATAAACAACAGAAACATCAATATAATAAAAATGAGCCTTTGCTCGTGAACAGTAATAAGCATATTATTATTATTGATGCTCATAAATGCAAACACATACGCAAGGGTTTTTGTTTTTGACTAGGGGCTGTGAACAAGAGGACAAGAGCCAGGTAACTGCTCCATACGAGCTCAGATGCTACAAAACCTCCCTCACTTTATGAAAGCGTGTGTGTGCCTGGAGGCAGATGAAGCAGCAGCCCGAATGCATGAGAAGGAGGAGCAGAGAGAGGAAGGCAGGCACAGGCAGCACCATGCTGGAGACCCAGCCTGGAGGTCTGCAGAGCCAGCGGGCCCCTCTCCAATGCCCAGTGAACCCCCCAGGCCATGCTCCCCATTGCACACCGGATGCCAGAGGTCATGCTGCCTATTTTAGGACTTTTAGACTGTAGCTCCCCTCTGCTGACAGCAGCAAAGTGAGCTTGGTGCATACTTCAGTTCCCATATTAAGCAAATCATTTGCTTTGATGAGCCAAAGATCAGTTGCAATTTTTAAGACAGCAAGACTAGCATTTTATCATTTTCTTTTTTGTTTCTTTTTAAAAACATTCAGCAGATCCTAAGAAATGCAGCTTCAAAATATAGCATGTGCTCTCTTTTTAAAATGCTATTTTTAGGAAAGAGCAATTTCTGTCTATCAGGCACATAATACATGACTTAAAGTAACTTGATTACACAATTATTCAATCATTTGGAATGCCTTTGTAGTGTATAATTACTCACTCAAAAATTGCATGCCCTCCCCCCTCACTGCCATATTCAGACCACGAGAAGGAAGTGTAAAGGAAGCTCTACCAGAAAGTGCTAACAGGGAGAGGCACTGAGCTGAAATGACAAGCTGAGCGATGTACCAAACCACCCTGTGTACAGCTCCACTAACATGCTCACGTAACTCCAAGGTTGGACTTTGACAGGGTTATTAGCTGATGGTACTCTGACAAGTTCCCAGTCCCCTTGCAGCTCACACCATGCGCTGCATTTCCTTGCTACATTCCTTCAGATTTTGATAAAGGAAACCTGGATGCTCAAGAAACAGGGATTCTTTGCAAAGACTCTTTTATCAGAGTTCATTAAAATGTTTTGAACATTTAGCTCAAGTCCCTCTGAGAGGGAGGCTAAAAGTTACTGATCCCACTTTTGCAGATGAGTAGTGTTTGTCACCTTTTCTTATCCAGCACTCCAGGTCCTGCTGGAGATGATGGGCTGTATAGATCTTTGGCTTGAGCCATTATGGCTGGTCTTATGGAGTTAGAACAAAGATCAGACTGCAAGAGAAGCACACAAACCAAAAAGGTGATTTATGAGTTCGGTCTCCTGCTCTAGCTGTTGGAAACACTCACACCAGTTATCCCTGTCCCCAAGCAGAAAACGCAGCTCACTCGTTGTTCTTCCCTCACACCTCTGGGAGATAGTATATTACATTCTTTTCACTTCCAGAAGTAATCACACTTTGTTTCAAAGTTGCAGAAAAGAATATCTAACTGGGGGAGAGAAAGAGATGAGAAAGAGCATGGGGAGATTAAGGTTAAAATCAAACAGATGCCAAGTGGGCTTTTTCATTGTCAGTGCTCATGCAGAGCTGACTCTGATGAGCAACAAATCAGAATTAAAACACAGGTCAGCACTCAGATGTTTTAGCAGGGAGATATTTTGTCCAACTCTTACCTAATCTCATCTGGGAACTGTGCATTTGTAACCAGGAAACTAGAGATGCTGTGCTGGTGCAGCAGCTTCACAAAGCGGTTGATCTCGGGATACATGATGGGCTCTCCCACCAGCGACAGCGCGCAGTGCTTTGCTGTCATGGCTTCCTCAAAGCGAGCTGCTTTTACTCCTGAGACACCTGCAAAAAGAGGGAAAACAGGCTTAAATCAGCTAAACTCCCTCCCAAACCATCCATCTGTATTTAAAATACAGTCCAGCGTGAGGAAGACTGAGCAAAACTAGCTGGAGCCCTCCTGAAGCAGAGGGGACACCAGGCCACAGCCAGCTCCCCAGGAATCCACAACACAGCATACGCCCAGACACACGGAGCTTGGGGCTGAGTGTGCCCTGTTAACTACTGCAAGTAATTTCCTAGTAACACTTGAGTCAAGCTTTCCATTGCTAAGACCTCAAGGATTCTGCCTGAATGCTGAGACAAGAACACAAGAGACAGTTTAATGCCACTTCAAGGAGGTGTCTTAAAAAAAGCAAGCCAGGTTAAACCTGTCTCTGCCTCTAAGCCCTTTGGCCCCCCAGCCCCACAAAGACCAGCTCCCCAGAGGAGCTGGGCACACTTTGTCAAGCAGAGCACCAGCAACCAGCTCTGAACCCAGACTGGCAACCACATGTAAGGCAACTCCACAGAGGATGCGTTCAAAAACAAAACCCAACACGTGACACCATCCTGAACAGCGACAGACATTTGAGAACAAAGAGGAAAACACAAGGAGCTCAACTGTAGCATCCACATGAAAATGTTATCTGCAGGTTTAACCAATCTGAGTCACATTTATTATACCCACAGGAGGGCAGGGGAGAGGCAAACACTCCTCCAGCCCATCCATATCTGACCAAATGCTCAGAACCCCGTATGAAATCATCTGACTACAAACAAGCTTTTGTTCCAAATATGTCATTTCACATTTTCTTGACATGCCTTGATATACTCAAATAATATCTGAGGTTTTAGATTGGGGGTTGGTTTGTTTTAGAAAAACAAAGGCTTGAGTTTGAAACCAGGTCCTCAGCTCACCTCTCGTTGCCTAGACGCTGGAGCTCACGCAGTACAGAAAATTACATGCTATGCTGCAAAGCCAAGATAAAAAGAGGTGTTCCTGGATATTGCTTTAGCCTCATGTAGAAAAGCTGGTTTGTGATCAGAGCAAAGCTTAGTGCATTTTAAACCAGCCAGGCTCAGTCCTGAATAAGTGACAGGACTAATGGTTATTCCGCAGAATCTTGACAGTACTAAATGAGAACTTTATTTGAAAAGAAAGAAGCATCTCAACCACACACTGAGATTAAAGGACTAACTTCCATATTCCTAAAGCTACTGGAAGTAATTTTTGGAATTAATTAATTTCTCTCTCTCAGTATCTTGCAATTGGACTATGATAATTACCGTGCCAGCTTTCTAAGCAGACAGAAAAAATTCTAACATCATGTAAAGTTTGAGAGTAACTTTCTCAGAACAGTTTACAGCAAATCTGACATATAGTAAACACACTCCACAGGAGGGTAGAGGGTTTGTATGCAATCATTTGACCGTATAAATCATGACCTAGGCAGGGATAAACTAAACAGGATTAGCGTGTATTCAGGGAGCGCATGAACTCTCCTGCACTTCTGGCTGCCATACCACCACAGCACCCAGCCTCTGCTCCTGTGGGTGAGCCTCCTTCTGCCTTCAGCCAGTGAAGTCCAGCAAAGTCAGAGCCTGGGCAGATTTTGTACAGCCTGCAGCAGGTCCAGCACAGGTGCAGGAGCTTAGAGCCATAGGAAATTGAGAAGGAAGAAGCAGTGGCATACAGCTTTCAGCTCCTGCCGAGCTCAGATCTCAGCAGAGCATGCAGCCAAGCCTCCTCTGATCAGCACATCTTCTTTGAAAAGCTGATTCCAGCTGCTTTTCTATTAGTGCACTTAAATTCAGGAAAGAAAAGCATCATCTGGCACATCACCCTAGAGAGGCTGATTGCTGACTCTGGGTACACCTCTGCAAGCACCTGTATACCAGTCATCACAAATCCCTGGGTGACTGGGGAGGCAAGGAACCTGTTCTTCCACTCTTACAGCTAGATACAGAAGTAGTCTTCAGATTTCTTCATTCAGGTCATGTATGTGGGTTGTGGTAGTTGGTGGTTTTGTGTGGTTTTATTTTTTTCCCCCCAGGTTGAACCAGGGCTGTATTATCAGAGACTCCTGCTCTCCTAGTTTTGAATTATGTTTCCATTCTGTGTGTGCCCTTTATAAGGGCACAGAGATTTACTAGCCACTACCTAGGAAATGTATCCATCAAACTACTTCACACCTTCCCACCTTCACTCCCCATCAGTAAGATGTCTCTCCATCAGTTACTCTAAAAGAGAATTATGTGACATTAATGGCTATGGTTTTCAAAAACAGTACACCCTAAGCAACAATAAAAGAGAATATGACATATCACCATCTCTAAAATCATGCGTAGGGACACTTACAAGATATAGGATTATCCTCTAGGATAGCCTATAGGATAGAGGACCCCCAAGAATCTTTCTATTCCTTCAAAGATAATCTCCTTTTTACTACAATGCATGGAATTAATAAAGTATCAGATCAGCTCAACATTATCTTTGTCACACAGAGGTGTCTCTATGTGTGTACCTGAATGTGGTATTGGTACTGGAAAGAGCACTGATTTATTCAAGTAACTTTGAGTATTATCTGAGCAGCATTACCAGACACTCAAGACCTCAAGGGCTCTCTAACCAAGACATTTTCCTCACGCTTTTCTTCTCCAGTAGCCTGAACAGTCTGGTCTGCTCTGCACCAGGGGTCAGTGTTCAAACACCTCAGCACCTGCTGGAAACTCCTCTGGAGTACCTGTGGCCACCTCACTGTTCAAACTTTGGGGTGATTTGTGGGGATTTAGTGTTTGTGGGGTTTTTTTTCCATTTAAAACCAATCATAATAAAATCAAACCTACTATTTGTAGAGTGCTTCTAAGCCTGCTGAAAGTAGACAGTCATGTTTTCTGCCTGAGGCACTTCCAACCCAGACAGAGGGCAGCTCTGGCATGCAGGGGGCTTTCATCCAGCAAGACATTGCACATCTTTTTAACTCTCCCTGGCTTCAGTTTAACACACAGTGTTTCAGCTCAACTTTGCTTCCACTGATTCTACTCTAACAGTATTTTCACATGCACCTTAGGGAAGCGACAATGTAAAATTCACAAAATGTAACAGTGAGCTACTGGGCTTTTCTTACTGATTTTTCTTCTCCTTAATAAACCTTTTGCTTTCAGGCTCCCAAGACAGGATGCACGTTGCCATCTATCACCCTGAAAAAGTAACACATCTTTTCCCACTTTGCAGCACAGCTCTAGTCCAGAGATGGTTTGGTTTTTTTGGTCTTTCTCCTTTTACAGTTCCAGGCCAAGGGTAACTGTGCTGAGGATGCACATGCAAGTTTCAAGGAATATTTACAGATTTGTTTAATGGAAAATAAGTTCCAGAAAGAGAGAATTGGGATGTCCTTACAGGCCTCTCAGCACTTTGGGAGTATTTTCAGATGCTGCCAAGTCCTTCTATAACCTTTCCCTCTCCCCAGCCCTTTTTGGGAGGACATCAGGGGGTGGTAAGGGACAAAGAGGGTTATTCCTTAGTATTAGTTGGGTTTAAACAGATCCCTGCACCCAGTTTTCAGAAGAAGGCAGGGCTTTCAAGCATCTGCAAAATAACTTTTGCTTTTCATCTTTTTTTAGTGCAAACACCACACGCTTCTGTTATACAGGGGCAACACTTCGATCACACTGCACCACTACAGCACAGCTCGAGGGCAACTCCTGCCTCCAAAAGTATCCCCTCGATACCCCATCAGCAACTGCATACAAATCTAGTCATCACTTTAAACAACGTGTAGCTTCTTCCTTAACAAGTGTAAATTACAGTTTTCAGCCAGGTCCTGCCTCAAAAGGGAAGAGGGGTTGTTATTCTTTACAATTTTAAATTTTAACAATCGTATCAAAAAAGTCACAGACATACTGGTTCAAAGGGCTCCAGCAGGTCTCTAGTCCAGCCTCCTACTCAGAGAGGACAATTGCCAACACTGGGCCAGAGTGATAATGGCTTTACTTAAAAAGATTTGAAAGCTCTAAGGTAGAGGGTTCCCCATCTCTCTGGCACCACCTTGGCTGAACAAGCTTATTTTGATGTTTAACTCAGACTTCTCAAACAGAAACTCAAGTCTGTTGTCCCTTGTTCTACCATGGCAGTGGGTCTCCCAGCATGGGCTGACATGGGGTTATAACACTCGTACAGAAGCTTCCGCTTCTTGTCAAACTCCACACGCATCTGTTGGCCCAACAATCATGTTTCTCAAGGTCCCACTGAAGTAAAGCCGTGCCACTGAGTGTGCCTGACACACTCCCTAAATTAGGATCACCTGCAAAGTTGACAAGGGTGTATTCATCACCTGTTGATGGAGATGTCGTACAACACAGGTTCCCAGATCAACCCCTGACGTACCCTGCTTCTTATCAGCCACCAAACTGACCTCAAGCTATTGACCATAAACCCTTCAGCACGCACAGCCACATTTCATCTCATCTAAGAGCCTGGTTATCCAGAAGAGTCTGAAAAGTGCTCAGTGCCTTAAGTGTTGAAGATACTCTTGTTTATAGCTGTAACAGTCTGCTACAGTTGTTTCAGCCTTCCAGCCAAAATCTGACATCCTACATGCTCTTCACTCATGCAAACCACCTGTACCAGAACTCCTGCTGGGCTGGCACTGCATCCCACCAGCTGAGTTAACAGCCAGCTGTGAAACCCTGCAGCAGCTCTGGCCCAGCCTGTCAGGCAGCACTGCTGCAGGCACCTTGCCTTAACTCAGCACTCTCCCCGCATGGCTGCACTGCAGAAGAAACACCGAGGCCAGGGAATGAGAGCTGCACTTCCCTGCAGACTGCCCTGCCCCAAGCACAGGCAGCTGTGCTTTGCTGAGTCTGAAGGAGGATGCACTAGTGACACCAACTACCTCCTCCACTGACTCCTCTCATCTCACCACCTCCCCAAGGAAAGCTTCCCCTACTGAATTAACATCATTTTTTCCCTATCCTACCTCAGCACCTTCACTGCTTTCCCCTGGACAAGCTCTAGAGCTGTGATCCAGTCCCCCAGGTCTGGCTACCCCCTATCCAGTTCAGCATAGGAGCTACCAGGGAACGGGCTTCCCTGGAGCTGCTGGTCTGAGAGAGCAAGATGATTCAAACCAGTCACTTGATGAAAATGAAGCTCATGAGGCCCTAACTTGAGTTATTTTTCTGCCTATTAAGTAACTCCAGTGAATGAGATGGAGCAACTCTGCTCAGCTGACAGAAGGTTTTTTTGCCTGTCGTATTTTTAATCCATTGGGTTCTCTCTGTGCACAGCCAACATAAACAAACGGGTTCCCAAAATGACAGCCAAGACTGAGGCTCATCCTGCACATTTTATGGATGCTTCATTCCATTCCTGGTGCTCACACAGCCTCAGCTGTCAGTTAGAAAGAGAAGAGTCCTAGACCTGTCCTGACAAGCTGGCCAGCCCTCCCAGCACACAAAGCTGACCTTGGCAGAGTTACTGAGTTTATCACACTTGGAAAAAAAGAAAAAAAAACCAACCATCTATACATACAGATACATATGGAATAACTCACAAGTACAAGGAGTTCCTCTGGGAAGTAAAATACAGTACTTTTCAGAGGTGCTGTGTAACTGCACCTTCAGTCACAAACAGATGTACTGAGTAATTCCTGAAAGTAATAATACCCTGAATGCTAGTGCTCACTCAACGAGAAATATCCAATCTAGGCACTTCAGAGCTAACAGAAAAGCTCCCAGTAGATGAAGGCTTGACAATGTATTTCTTATCACGTTAGAGGCTGATTCCTTTTGCCTTCTACCTGCCCTCACTTTTATGTAATAATCAAGATCTCTCATCATTCAGGCCAGCTTTAACCACTGCAGAACCCTCCACAGGTACCAAGGAAAAGGATGTGATAAGTACAAAGATGCACAAGAGGCAACTTCACGCTACTCCCTCAAGGCAGCAGTAGATACCCAATGGCTGACTCATGTTCTAATGTCAAAACCAAAGTAGAATATCTCAGAAAACAGTAGGTGTGCTACAAAAGTTTCTTCTCACCCATCTTTCTGATATAAATCTCATGCCTCCTTCCAGTATTTCAGATGACCAGAACGTTTTCACCTATGCTTTGAAGAGGCTACTGCTGGTTATCTTCCAAAAAGCATCTTTAATGGGGAAGAAGTGGGGGAAGTTACCTTTGAACTGCTTGATCATATTCTGATGGTTCGCAATAGCCTCCTGCAAGATCATTTCAGGTTGGTCCATCTTCCATCGCCACTCTGTGCCCACTGGATTTGTATGATGTCTGAAGGAAAGAGACACAGTTATTCACTGTCATTTGTAACATACATGGAAGAAACCATCTGTCGCCCTGGGGACTCTGGCATTGTTTAAGAATATTAAAAGCAATAAGTTCTCAGCTATATCCTGCTTCTGACAACTTTCAGATGTCATCCTGCAACACCATTCTCATACCCCTCTTCTTCCAGGCTCTGGTCTCCCAGAAGAAAGCATGGACCTTGCATGTCTAATATAAACTTAACATACCTATTTTGAATCACAGGTAAAAGGTTTCTAAGTTAAAATTATGTTCTGCAGCAAGAAAAACCTCTGTAAAGAAAGGAAAACTGATTCTAGCTCCTCTTCTGACCACAGCTGCAGAAAGCACTAGAAAAGGAAGGCCCTAAGTCACTTTTAGTTCCATTGCCAAGGTACCAGCTGCCACCCTGAGGAGGACAGGATTTGCTTCTAACCCAATCTTTATGTAATGCTCTAGTAACGGGACAGATGAGGGCAGACTACTTCAAACTCTATGAAGAGATTAGGAAATCTGCAGTATGCTGGAGATGCACTGCTGGTAGATTTGGTTAATCTCCCAGATTTACAAAATAGGGGCTTCTCATCACTTTTGAGATCTGCTAGCTACAACATTACTAAAACCAAAGTGCAAAAGATAATGTTAATTTCTGAACCAAGCAGATCACAGGATAAAAACCACTGATTTTCCATCTAAGGGACAGCTTGCGTCACATCGGGTTAGGCAGCCAACTCTGCCTTCCCAGAAAGGATTACTATATCCACGGTTTTTCTTCAAAAACGAAAAAAGCCTACCCAAGGCAAATCCACCCAAGCACCTGAAAGACATATGGAGTTTCTCCCCATTCCCTATTGCTTTAGCATGAGAGGATGTTACAAAGCCATTGTAAATCATCTGGTTAAAAAAAGCATCCTGATCAGCAAATGAACTATTATAAGGAACTGGTGTGGTACCCATCGTGCTTGCACCTGGACAAACACAACCTAGAGAGAGCCTGTACTAGGGCACAGACCCTCTCCCTGGTGGGAGGAATTTCCCACTAACTTTGCTGCACTTAGCCTGGTATTGAACAGGGATAATTCAGCATTTAAGTATCATCCTAAGAAAAATCAACAAATTTCCATGCTTCCACCTCCTCGTTCTCTCTCCATCTTCTCTAGCTTTTTTTCCAAAATATGCTACAAAAGTTCCTCCACTTTTCCCATACCAATACTACTGCAACTCAGAATATTTTTTTTAACAGAAGAGCAGCATATTCTGCATTGTCTTAGCTCTGGACACTAAAACAAGATCAAACAATATATATTCCTGAAACTTTGTTTTCTGACCAGTTGATCTCTTTCTTCCACCACTCTCCATCATCCCTGGAAGTCAGCCACAAAGACGACTGTGAGGTTTCCTGCCATATTCAGCCTTCCAGCTACACAGGCACTAGGACATGATGCCCAGCATTTAACTAAAGGAGAAAAGAGAGGGAAGCACTTTTTCAGAATGAAGTGGCTGGTCCCATGTTTACTGAATACAATGAAAAGACTCCCACTGACTTCTCCAAGTGACAAAGACCTACAGCTCCACACTTTGACAGTGCTAAAACACAGAAATTCTAGACCCAGCATCAGTTTTGAGTCTATGGCCCAAACATTTCTTCATCTACTTCAAGAGCAAAGATTCAAATGCTGCTCTTAAACTATTCCACCACCTCAAAGATCCTTTAAGCTAAAACAGCTCTGCTTTTTGAATTTCCCTTCTTTTGTCGTCCAACATGGAAAGTTTTCTGAATGCCAACTACAGAAGGCATTTATAAAACTCTTACATGTTTAACTACATAACTTGGACCTTGTATATTTAATAGGGTAAGTTGGCAGAAAATCAATAGGCTCTTGAAGCATGCTGGACAGCTATTAGTTTCTAACAGTCCTTGAATTTTTAACACATTCTAACTGTTTAATAAACATACCATGTCATGTCTACAAAGAAGCTTATTTGGCAAAAAACAGTTTCTCTTCTAATGGGGGGCAGGGGGGGGAATGTTTTGCAGCTGCTGAGATCATTTCACAGTCCCTGGCAGATAGAATTTCACTGTCACCTTCCCATTCCCCTGCAGGCTCTGTGACCCTCTGCATCGTCTGCTTCACCAGCTACTGAAATTTTTGAGCAAGTAATTGTGCATAGCATTCCTTATGAAATTAACACAAGCACAAAAAAGTCTCACCCAAACCCACACAGACCAGAAAACTTATTTTAGAGATTCCAAGTCTGAAACAGGTTTGATTTGATGCTTCAGAGACAAGCCATCACTGCCATAGCACCCCACCAGCACAGAGCAATGCAAGACTGCAGGGAACATGATGGGGAGCTCCCAGCTCACTCCTGCTCTCCCTGGCTAACAAGACTGCCTCCAATCCAGCCTCATTTGCATTCTCATCAGACCTGTGATCTACCTGTATTATTTGCCAGCACTACCAAAGAGTCAGACCTCTGGGAAGGTGTATGCTTCAGTGGGGCAGTGCATCCCCCTCCATGATCAGTTCTGTATTATTTTAATAAATCAGCTGTTGCTTTATACCCTCTTAAAATGGTCACTCTCTTCTGTGAGCGATGCTTAGTATTATGAAGGCTTTCAAGAAACTTTAAGGGGAAATGCAGTACAGGCATGAAGTATCATTTACTCCAGTGATCAACTGATTGATGTTGATACGTGGTGGGGAACATGAAGGTGAGGAAATGCTGGTGGCAGTGACCATGAAAGGACAGAGCACATGGTTCCCAGGAAGGGACAGGAGAGAAAGAGCAGAATAAAACCAGGAGAGTTCAAAAAGCAGACTTCAGTGAACCCTGAGAACCAGCAGGTGAGATCCCAGAGGAGAAGAGTTTAAGGGCAAAAGAGTTCAGGAGAACTGGCAGCTTTTAAAACCCTATTAAGGCAGAAGTGCAAACTGCAGCAATAAAAGGCAAAGAAGAGTAACAAGAAACCAATCTGGCAGAATCACAGGCTCCTCTGCAACCTTGCAGTCCTCCAGCTGAAAATAAGAGGAAAAGCACAAGAACACAGGGTCATAATCAGAAAGGTCAAGGCAAAAAAAAAAAAAATCAGTTACAACTAGCAAAGGACATACAAAAGGAATACAAGAATAACTTTCCCTATAATGATGTGAGGAGAAATAGGAAAACCATGAAAATAAACTTGTCCAACACACAATCAAACAATGTTGAATGTTTCCCTGTGACAGCAAGAAAACTGTTGGCACCTTTTCTTCTGCTTTCTCCTGGCAGCAATGGGAAGAGCCCAGGCTGGACAGGAAGAGGACAGGTTAGATATATCTAAACTGAATGAAGTGTTTCACTATGATGGTTAAGCTCACCCTAGAGCATGCTGGATGAATTGGTGGACAGTATCAGAGTCACTAGTAATAAGCTGAAAGTTTGTGACGTGCATGTAAAAGATTCAAAACACACTAAAAAAGTGCAAATGACCCCTGCTAAAGTGGGCATTGCAAAGATTTCTATCTCAACCCCTCTTAACTTCCAGTTCCTGAGGACATACTGGATTAAAAAGGCATTTGAGCGCCCCAGAACACAGCACTGGGATGGGTAACAGCCAACATGAATGTTCTCAGAACATCTCACACCAAAAGCACCACTGGTCCTTGTAGGCAAAGGAAAAGGAGAAGAGGCTGAACTTTTGACACTGTCTTACCCAATATTCTTAAAATACACCCAGTGAAATGCTCTGTAAGTAGCACTTTTGTAAGAGAGCACAAAGCAGGGTGTAAAACCTGAACCAAAGATTAGTTACCCCTGGTTCAGCAGGAGACCAGATCTATCCAGAAGGAATCTGCAGGGTTGTGTCCTGGACTGGCACTATTCAGCAGCTCCCAAGGGTTGAAGGATGGCTCAGGAGGTGGGCTCACCACATCCGAGATGGAACTAACCCGGCTGGAGGTACAAACTCAGGGAGGACAACATGCAGTTAAAAAGATCACCACGCCGATAGTATTATATAGTTATAACTTTCATTGGAGTGCAAAATGCCTTGTGGCAGGGATAAAGTACAGACTTCTAGTCTCAGATTTACTCTCTACAAATAGGAAGACATTCACTTTAAAAAGCAAAAGAGAAGTTTTGATAGGAACAACAGCTTAAAAATCCCTATCTAGACTGCTGTCTGAGGAACACAATGTTTCTATAGAAATTTCCTGTTAAATAACAGACAATTATTTCTCATGTTGCTCTAAGCAATCTTTTGTTAGCTGTAGGAATGAAAAAAATAATGGTTTATTATGAATAAACTAAAGAAAAGGAAAAAAGCTTTTCAAAAGGCACAGAATTATTCCTAAATGCTGACAAATTTAAACCATTTCAGAGAATAAAAAAAATGGGGAAATAAGGTTGAAGTCAAATGTTTGGATATCTGAACATCCAAAGAAAATTCTCGTTCTAAAAACTACAAAATATTCAGTATTTTCAAATGAAAATTTGGACTTTCCTCATGTTTTAATATCAACTTAAATAAAAAGAATTTTCAGAAACAGGTGAAAAAAACCTAAAATGAATTGATGAATTTTAGATGAAATGAATCAACCACTAACTTCTGTATTTTCACTAGGAGTGCATTGCAGCTGGACCCTCACTAACTTCCTAAGGTTTTTCACATCAGCTGCTCCATCAAAATAAGTTTTGTCTTCTCCTTGTAAGATTACTTGGTCAGATTACAACACGTGGCAGCAACTCATGATAGTACCCATAGCGAGGACTTCAGTCCAGGTTGGTTTTGACGCTTCCTCTGAACTGAGAGAGGACTGAACTTTAGAAGATTTTTAGAAGAATCCACTTCTGGTACTTGTGAGGCCACACCTGGAAAAATGGGTTTGGTTTTGGGCCCCTCACTACAAGACAGACATGGAGGTGCTGGAGCATGTCCAGAGAAGAGCAAGAGAGCTGGTGCAGGGTCTGGAGCACAGGTCTGCTGGGGAGCAGCTGGGGGAACT